TAAATAGAAAGAATACTTGAATATAGATAGATAACATTTGATAGCTACATAGGTATATATATATATATATATTATATATATAGCTATATATATATATATATATATATATAAATATATATATATGTGAAATATAGATGGAGAGATAGACAGACAGACAGATGGGTTGATAAAAACAAATGCTGTATAGGTAAAATTTAGTGCGTTGTGCAGTATACAATAAATGCCATGTGTATATTGTGCACACAGTATATAACAGTTATATATGTTGGTGCACTATAGATAGATAGACGATAGGCTGATACAAACAAATGTTGTACAGGTAAATATATGTTATAGGTAAGTTATAAAAAAAATTCGGTGCTATATAGAGTTTTCATTAATTGCCATGTTCTGTATATTGTGCACACAGTATATAACAGTTAAACATGCTGGTGCACTATAGATAGAGATAGATAGATAGATAGATAGATAGATAGATAGATAGATAGATAGATAGATAGATAGATACAGAGATAGAGAGAAAGAGACATACACATATATATGTAGAGAGAGAGACATACACACACACACACACACACACATATATATACATATGTAGAAGAAAAATAGATAGATAGATAGATAGATAGATAGATAGATAGGTAGATAGAATACATAGCAAGATGAAAGAAAGAAAGAAAGAAAGAAAGAAAGAAAGAAAGAAAGAAAGAAATAAAAAGAAAAAAAAGAAAAAAAAAAGAAAGAAAGAAAAAAAAGAAAGAAAGAAAGAAAAAAAAAAAAGAAAAAAAGAAAAAAAGAAAGAAGATAGATAGATAGATAGATAGATAGATAGATAGATAGATAAAAATGTAAAGTAGATAGGTAGATATACAGAGCAGATAAATAAATAAATAAATAGATAAAATGTAGAGTAGATAAATATAGATATATAAATAGATAGATAGATAGATAGATAGATAGATAGATAGATAGCTACATACATGCATAGATACATACATACATAAAATGTAGAGTAGATAGCTACATACATGCATAGATACATATATACATACATACATAAAATGTAGAGTAGATAGATACATACATACATGCATAGATACATACATACATACATACATACATACATAAAATGTAGAGTAGATAGATACATACATACATGCATAGATACATACATACGTACATACAAAAAAATGTAGAGTAGATAGATATAGATAAATAAATAAATACATATAGATAGATAGATAGATAGATAGATAGATAGATAGATAGATGATCATCTGCCCACTAGATTTACTGAGTATACACATTGGGCAGCGAGTTATGTCCCCCTATCCCAGCATAATTCAGCCAGGGATTGTCTGGGAATCTAATTCTCTTTTGTCAGCCACTTATTGCACATTCACTGGGCTGACACCTCACAGTAAATACGGGGCATTTCCAGCTCGTGTATCATCCCCGGCTCCTATTTGCATAGCTGCTTAGTCCTGGTTTTATGGTGCACGCTTGTTTTGCTTGTCCCAGTAAATACCCTGCGAATGGTCCCTGCGCCTCTAAATCTCCAGCCCAGCACTAGATCGGGTCTATGGATCAATCCCCCCATCATAAGACTAGGACTAAGCAGAAGAGTAGGACTTACAGGGTCCCAGCCATTGTGCATTGCCCCCCCCCCCCTCCCATTGAAGAGAACGCCGTAGGGAGGAGGTGGGATGGGTGATTCTGGGTCCCCCAAGTGCCCATGTCCCCCCTCTTCTTACCTGTGCTTCTCATCCAGGGGTAGATTCGGAAGTTGCTGTCACTGTGCAGTTCGGAGTCCCTCTGTTCGGTCTTGGTGCTGTTCTGCTTGGAGGAGTCACTGGAGCACATTAGAGAGAGGTTCTGCTCAAACGGCGAACAGTGCATGTTAAAGGAAGCGGCTTCCAGGCCGTAGCCGGAGGGGGGGTACATGGCCGGGCTCTGGGGGTGCATGCTGCCTCCATTGGTGTACAGTGCCGGCACCGAGCCGGGGAAGGACGCCCCACTCCCCGAGCCATAGCCCGTGCGCTGGCTGGTGGAGGCGAAGGCGCACGAAGTTTGCTCTGGGAAGACTCCGGATGGGAAAACAGAACTTGCAGTTTGATATTTGGAGAATAAAGCATTCGCATAATACAATGAACTCATAATTTGGCCGGATGATTTGTAGGCCGGGACGTTTTAGTGTCGGTTTTACGAGGTACCGTGATATATTACAGAATTAGAGTCCAGATTTACACCAAAAAGGACCCCCTTTTTCCTCCCTTGACCATGTGACTGGCACACACGTGATTTTCCTCCCTCCAATCCAGGCTCAGCTTCCCACAGCTCTTGTAATGTGGAAAAAAAAATTGTTGTAGTGCTGGATTTATAAAATATGATAAATATTTGATGGGCTCTAACCCTCTAAGATCTATGTTTTAAAGGGAAATTGCAATGGAGTCGATAAGGAAGCTGTAATCTGTTTCAAATGAGACAAAAAGGCTTGAGGGATGAAAAAAAAAAAAACTAGCAGCAGAGAGAGAAAAAAAAAAATAAACTGAAACCTATTTATTTCTGTATCGATTTTTCTCTAACGCTTCTGTCTGCGTTCTGTGAGATTGCGCTATCTGTGCCATAGTTATTAATGGATCCTGCGTAATGCCTCTCAGACTTGGACCAGCAGATAAACCACAAAAAAAAGAAGAGCAAAACAGCCAGCCGAGGAAGAATTGTGCCTCTTAGCTGTGATTGCATGTTATTGCTGTGCTCAGGATGGACTTTCAAATTGCAGATGCCAAGCGGATCATCAATACAAGAGTCTCGTGCTGGAGAGCAATTGTCCTCCACTACTATGGGCTATAATTAAGAATGCACTTACCTTGGCTGGATCTGTCTCTGTGGATCTCTTCTAACCATCCTCCGCTCTGTATATTAGCATCATCATCATTATAATCACCATTTATCTCCATTGCCTCACTTTATTAAACAGCACTGTACACTTACATAGGTTTGTCCGCATCCTTCCTTGATCTTAGGAGCTTGCAATCCATATCACAGCCACACAAACATACAGGGGTCCATCTGATACATGAACCTACCTGGATCAGGGGGGAGTAACCTGCTACTTCGCTCATATTCAGGTTAGAAGAAACATAGAGTGACTGCAGAACCAAGTGGTCCATCAACTCCCTTGAGGGACTGGATTCTGAATCCCAGTGAAGTTGGTGTCACTCAGGACTACTACTACTTAGGAAATGGCTTAAATCTAGAACTGGATTACCTGGATCTCTTGATATGACCTCTTGATGATACCTTTTGATGATGATCTCTTATTGAGACCTTTTCACGAGTTCTCTCCAAGAAGATTATTTGATGAGACCTCTTACTGAGACCTTTGGATGGTGATCTCTTAAGATCTCCCCATGGTGATCATTTGATAAGATCTCTTGATGAGACCTCTTCATGAGATCTCTTCAGGATGATCATTTGATAAGACCTCTTGATGATGATCTCTTGATGAGACCTCTTCATGAGATCCCTCCACGGTGATCATTTGATGAGAACTCTTGATGATGATCTCTTGATGAGACCTCTTGATGAGATCTCTCCAGGGTGATCATTTGATGAGACCTATTGATGATGATCTCTTGATGAGACATCTTCATGAGATCTTTCCACGGTGATCATTTAATGAGACCTCTTAATGATGATCTCTTGATCAGACCTCTTCATGAGATCTCTCCAGGGTGATCATTTGATGAGACCTATTGATGATGATCTCTTGAGACATCTTCATGAGATCTTTCCACGGTGATCATTTGATGAGACCTCTTGATGATGATCTCTTGATGAGACCTCTTAGTGAGACCTTTGGATGGTGATCTCTTAATAAGACCACTACATGAGATCTCTCCATGATGATCATTTAATGAGACCTCTTCATGAGACCTCTTCATGAGATCTCTCCATGATGATCATTTGATGAGACCTCTTGATAAGACCTTTTGATGATGATCTCTTGATGAGACCTCTCCATGATATTTCTTGATGATGAGCCACCTCTCTTGAAGATGATATCTTGTTGATTATCCACAACAAGGACACATTTGAGGACTAGAGCTGATCTGTTTTACTATGCCTTTGCCAACAGCTCCCGAACCCCTACTAAAACACAACCCTCTTCTGTCTCTAGGAGCCCCTATACATTCAAGGATGGTACAAAACACACAGACGACTTTTATTTCTCTTTTCAACCCATCTCCCAGGAGGAAGCATCACAACGCATGATGTCACGGTCCCTCTTGTAAACTTTATTGTAACTCCTTCCGCCGTTTCCATGTTTAGACAATAGGACAAAAGTGTGCAGAACCATAAAATAGAGAATGACCCCCACCCACCTTTCAATAAAAGGAATTCACGTATACAGTATACAGTCTGTTCACAGTAACCAAAAAAAAAAAAAACACAAGTGGCTTTTCACTGGGCGCATGCTAACTACATCCTCGCACACACAGAGAATGCGGGGTGCCAGGGACAAAACAAGAGGGGGGCATCTAGCAGTGTGTTAGAGAAGGGGGACTACAGCTGAATTAGGCAGTTTCATGTTGTTGGTCTGTTTTTTTATGTCTTGTTTTGTAGAAAGAAATACAGTAAACCACATAGAGAAATAGTGCACACAAAACTTCTAGAGCAAACCTTCCCCACCAAAGTGAAAAAAAAAAAATAAAAAAAGAAAAGAAAAAAAGAAAACCCCAAAAGTTATGATCCACAAAAGCTATTGCGTTATACACAGACACTAGAAAGTCATTTCCTTCCCCCCTACCAGGAGCGAAGACAGCAGGTTGCCTGGTTCTTAGGGGGCACCGGTCAATTTAGGTATCAAACAGGATGAGTTACAGAGAAAGGGGCGATTTACAGCTACATCTTTTACAGCAACATTGTGCCCCCTTCTGTATATTTCCAGGAACATTGGGGAGAGCTGGAGACAAGTGGCTTTGTCAATGGGCTTCTCAGTCCAGGCTCTTCTCAGCCTTTTGTCCATCCAGAGCCTCCTCAGTGTCTGGTGATCTCTCCATTTTCTGTTTCTCCAGTTCCTCCTGCTCACATTTGCTGCTGGGGAACTTATCTTTGTTGTTCTCCTTTTTCCATTTCATCCTCCTGTTCTGGAACCATATTTTCACCTGTCTCTCAGTAAGTCCCAAAGCGTGAGACACCTCAATCCTCCGCTTGCGGGTAAGGTAAGGGTTGAAGAGGAATTCTTTCTCCAGCTCCAGGGTTTGGTAGCGGCTGTAGGTCTGTCTACCTCTCCTACGTCCAGCGGCTGCTGAGGATGAGAAGCAAACAAGAATGAAGGGCTGGAGGCAGCAGCAGCAGCAGGGCACACACAAAGGGAGAGGACAGTGGAAGCAGCCATCGGAAGGGGGAAAGACAACCCAAAAAAGGGGAAATACAAAACAAGAAGCAATGCAAGATACACAAAGGAGAAGGACATGGAAAGCAGTAACCAGAAGAAGAGGAAGAATAACCCAAAAAGAGGAAACTAAAAGAAGCAATGCAAGAAACACAAAGGAGAAGGAAATGGAAAGCAATAACCAGTAGAAGGAAAAATAACCCAAAAATAGAAAATAAAAGTAGCATTGCAAGAAACACAGAGAAGGACATGGAGAGCAGTAACCATAAGAAAGAAAAATAACCCCAAAAGAGCAAATAAAAGAAGCAATACAAGACACACAGAGAAATACATGGAAAGCAGTAACTAGAAGAAAGAAAAATAACTCAAAAGGAGAAAAAAGAAGAAGCAATGCAAGGCACACAGAGAAGGACATGGAAAGTAGTAACCAGAAGAAATAAAAATAACCCCAAAAGATAAAATAACAGAAGCAATGCAAGGCACTGAAAGGAGAAGGACATGGAAAGCAGTAACCAAAAGAAGGAAAATAACCTAAAAAGAGAAACTAAATAAAAGCAATGCTGGACACACACAAAGGAGTAGGACATGGAGAGCAGTAAGCAGAAGGAGAAATTTACTTCAAAAACAGAAAATATAAAGCAAACAGGATACACACAAAGGAAAGGACAGAGAAGGCAGTAGTCAGAAGGGAAAAAAGTTAACTTAACAAAAATTAAGGAAAGCAGAACACACAAAGGAAAAGGAGAGCAGTTACCAGAGGGGGAATACTTAAAAAAGAGAAACTAAGAAGCAATGCAAGACACATACAGAAGGAAATTACATGGGGAGCAGTAATCAGAAGGAGAAAAAGTTTAAACAGAGAGACAAAATAAAAAAGCAATGCAGGACCCACACAAAGGAGTAGGGCTGGAAAAGCAGTAACCAGAAGGGGCAAAATAACGTAAAAAAGAAGCAATGCAGAACACAAACACACAAACACACAAACACAGGGAAAGAACATGCAGAGCAGCAATCAGGAGGGGGAAAAAGTTAATCAAAAAAAGAGAAAATAAATAAAAGCAATGCAGGACACACACAAAGGAGAAGGACAGGGGGAAGCAGTAACCAGAAGGGGCAAAAAATAACCCAAAACAAGAGAAAATAAATAAAAGCAATGCATGCATTTCCTTTAGTCACACACTACAAAGGGTTGGGAAATGAGGGCTGGGGGGGAAGTGACCAGCAGTAAAAAAAAAAAAAAAAGCAAACCTCTCCATCCGGGCAATTAAACTATAAAACAATTCACAAGTGCACAAGTTTAGCCCCCCATAAAACAGTAAAGTGCTAGGGTCACTTGATGGTCTTTACTTTGCCCACTTTTTATTTTTTTTGTTGCTCACCTTGTGGTCTCATCCAGGGAAAGAGCTGTGTAGGTGAAGGACTCTGCTCTGAGCTCTCTGCTTCTTCCCCCAGGCCAGCTGAGGCCAGCTTACAGTCGGTGTATTGCACTAGATCCGAATCCTGGCTGCTGAACAGGCTCTGCCTTTGCAAAGGGTCGTATCCGTAGAAGCTGCCGGGGTCCCCATGACAGGTCACAGCGCAGGGGTTCTGCTGGTAAGGGGGCGAGGACAGGGAAGACGTTCCATGGTAAAAGTCCTGAATCTGGCTAGGGTGCTGAAAAGTGCCCCCAGCACCGGGTCCATACACCACTGTGGGTCTGCCTCCTAGATCCTGGGCAAAGCCACAATCATAATAATTGGGGCGCAAAGACTCCCCTGCCTTGTACTTGGAGAAGAGTGAATTAACAAAATAAGAACTCATTTTTTTTTGTTGTTGTTGTTTTTTGTTTCTTTTAATGCTTTTAAAGCCGGAAAAAAGGGGTTCCTGGCTTGGTGTGTCTGTGATTTCCAGGAATATAAAAAGAAAAAGATACAATCAAAAGTCTATGCCTGGATGATATTGCATCCCTTGTTTTTTTTTTTTTTGTTTTTTTTTTTGTATTAAAAAAAATAACCACTTAAAGGAGATGTCGCTTTACATTTCCAAGAAGGGATTGCCAGTTCATAAACAGTTTCAGTGATTTACTTCGCAGCAAATGACTTGTTTCATATTTTGCAGCG